GACTTGGAGCTCCTGAAGGCCAGATTGTAGACCCTCCCCTCCCTTTTCCATGTTACACTTGCAGCTTGCAGCTGCACGTACCTATCTTCTCCCTCGTGTGTAAATAATCAGCCAACTGGTGATGGGGGTCAGCGCAGATTTTCCAGGGTAACCGACTGCTCTCTTCATACTGCCGGCATTATTGGAATAAACGCTCATATATGATTCAACCCTGTCTCTGCTCAATTTGGCTCAAGTAGTGACAGGCGGCCTCAGACCCACTGGGTCTGGTTTCACCATCTACAGTCTAACAGCTACTAAGTGAAAGAGTCAGGATGTGAGACAGTTTCAAGCAACTGCAACATCCATTCTTTTTATAATGTACCACCCTGTTTGCCTCCAAGGTGGATTGGCTTGAAGTACAATGCTTCAATGTACGGTGGAGGGGTGAAAGTTGTAAGATATCCTCAGGCAGCCTCACCCTACACAGACCCTACCTGTATAAAAGCCTGAGGTTCTGGTCCCTACAGGACACCTACTACACAGGCCACTCTACCAATCCCAGGAGACACAGCAGCTCTACTTAATACATAGGATCAAACACACAGGAAAGCAGGCAAAATGTGGAGACAAAGAAACATGTCAAAATGAAAGAACAGAAGAACTCAACACCAAAAGAACAAACAATCCAATTTAAAAATGGGCAAAGGACTTAAACAGACACTTCTCCAAAGAGGACATACAGATGGCCAATAGACATATGAAAATATGCCCAATATCACTAATCATCAGAGAAATGCAAATTAAAAACCACAATGAGATATCACCTCACACCTGTCAGAATTGCTATCATCAATAAATCAACAAACAATAAGTGTTGGTGAGGATGTAGAGAAAAGAGAACCTTCATGTATTGTTGGCGGGAATGCAGATTGGTTCAGCTATTGTGTAAAGTATTATGAAGTTTCCTCAAAAAATTAAAAATGTAACTGCTTTTGACTCAGGCTCCACTTCTAGGATATAGCTGAAGAAACCTGAAACACTAATTTGAAAGAATAAATGCACCCGTGATCATTGCAGCATTACTTACAATAGCCAAGCTATGGAAGCAACCCAAGTGGCTATCAATAGATGAGTGGATAAAAAAGAAGGGGTATATATATATACAATGGAATATTACTCAACCAAAATAACGAATGAAATTTTACACCAGGGGGGTGAGGGCATGAGTGGAAGGGTGGGGGGCAAAGAGGAGATAAGGACACATATGTAATACCTTAATCAATAGAGAAAAAAATAAAAATCCTATCTAATAAAAGAGTAATATGTAAATTAACCATCACTCCACAACAAAGATGGCGGTGCCCATAGTGGCTGAGGCGGGACGCTGGCGGCATTGCCCCGGCAACGCGAGCCCAGCGTCTGCACCCTAGGCTGGGTGAAAAAGGTGAAGAGATTGAGAAGTACAAATTGGTAGTTACAAACTAGTCATGGGGATATAAAATACACCACAGGAAATACAGTCAATAATCTATAATAATAAAAGGGTAATATGCTAATTAGACCGGGAGGCTTCTGGATGTCATTCTGGACGTCCTTCCTGATGAAACCAGGGCCAGAGGGAAGCCAGCTGGGTCCTGGGTGCCTGCGGGCGGCCTGGGGAAAGCCAGCCTGGTTCCCGGGTGCCGTAGGGAAGCCAGTACCAGCAGTCAAGGGAAGGAAGGCCTACTCTTGCACGAATTTTCATGCATCAGACCTCTGGTACTCCAATAACTATGTATGGTGCCAGTTGGATACTGGAAATATCAGGGGGAACATTTTGTAAAGTATATGATTGTCTAACCAATATGCTGTTTACCTGAATTTAATACAAAATAATATTGAATGTAAACTGTAATTAAAAAATTTTAGCCGAAACCAGTTTGGCTCAGTGGATAGAGCGTTGGCCTGCGGACTGAAAGGTCCCAGGTTCGATTCCAGTCAAGGGCATGTACCTGGGTTGCGGGCACATCCCCAGTAGGAGGTGTGCAGGAGGCAGCTGGTCGATGTTTCTCTCTCATTGATCTTTCTGACTGTCTCCCTCCCTTCCTCTCTGTAAAAAAATCAATAAAATATATTTTTTTAAAAAATTTAAATATAAAAAAAAACAGAAATAAAAATAAAATGAAAAAAGATTGCATAACAACTGAGAATAAAGCTTATGAAACCAATCATAAGTGAATAAAGAAATATGAGAAATTAAACTTAGAATGAAATAATACAAATTAACACTCGATAATAACATGTAAATTCTCTTCCTAAAATAATTTTAAGATATTATTTCACTTTTGATTTAATAGAAAACAAAATTTGAAGGAAATAAATTATACCAGAAAACCTCTTCTCTGTGGCTAAATAAAAGCCTGAAAGGTTGCATTTCCCTATTCCTGTGTAGAAAATTAAATTATTTTCAGAACCAGCAGGACCACACTATCTGAAATGGAAGGTGAAAATAGCACAGTTCCAATATTTGAAACGTGTTTTGGACAGATGTAGAATCATGCCCTGTGAGCTTAAGAGGATACAATAACCACAAGAAAAAGAAGTGGTAAAGGAATTATTATATTACAAACCACTTGTTCTAGAAACCAAGGTAATGTAAACTGTACTTGATTAGAAGTTTAAATTTCAGAAGTCATAAATGCAAGAAGTCTCAGAAAAAATCCACCTTGGTCCAGAAGTATTCTTTTAGCCCCAAGAGTTAATTTTTCTCCAGTCTCTTAGTGAAGAGGAATGGGGTATCAATGCCAGAACCCACTGACTTTTCAGAGGAGAAAACAGGTGGCGTTACTACCTTCCCTTCGAGGTAACTGCCACCCTTTTTTGGCACCACCATGGTCCTGGTATTAGAAGCCATGAAACGTATAGCATCTTTGGTACAGACCCCATCCTTGTCTTTAAAAGACTTTGTGATTGAACTAAGAAAAATTTTGTTGAAAAACCAAACAAAAAGAAATCCAATATAGTCAATGTTCCAAAGTGAAATTGTACGTGTCTTAGGTGTGATCCATTTTCTTTATTTTATAATTAACTGCCTAAATGGCTTAAGAAGCTGCTGGCTTTGTTAAATAATCTGGAAACAGTAAGAACTTCCCCCAAATAATGAGCTGTCAAATTATTCCCCTAATAATGTCTTGTTTCCCGGTGCTAGTGTTGAAATGCCAAGGCACTCTGACAGAGAACTGAAAATTTATGCACAAGACTTTTAAACAGCGTGGCATATTGATTTCAGAAGCAGCTCTTACATGGGAGGACAGGGCCAGCGGGAAAAGGGGGAGATAGTAATGGAGGTGCCAGGAACAATTCTGGGCCTCCTTTCTGATATTGGCATATTAATGCTAGCAAAAGGCTTCCCAACATTTGTCCAATAGTAATTAGGTTGGATTTTTTTCCAAAGGAAAAAAAACACATCAATTTCTGTGTAAATTAAGAATTCCAGATACTGAAAAAAAATAAGGAAAAAATATAAAACAGAAAAAAGTTAAAAAGTAAACCTAAAAGTTTGTTACCAAACAGTAAATCTTCTAACTGTAGAAGGGACTTTCTAAATTTTACCTCAAAGGCAAAAAATAAAAGTTCTTCTTTAAGTTGATGTGTTTACTTGAGTGTTAATATCTTAGTCTAAACTGCCCTGTCCAAAATGGCAGCTAGTGGTTACCCATGCTAATTGGGCAAGATTTCAAGTTGATTTGTGCTATTTGTGCTATATGTGCTATACACACTCTGGATTTCAAAAATTTAGTATTAAAAGGAATGTAAAATATATCTTAACTAGTGGTCCGGTGCACGGATTCATGCACATTGAAAGGACATTAATTAGAAGAAAGATTCATGTGGTAATTACATTACTGCAAAAAAATTTCATGTCAAAATAGTATATATAATATAGTATTATAAAATTAAGACACATGTGTGATTGGCGCCAGTGAGAGCTTTATATGTATCATACATGTGCGAGTCAATGTTTATTTTTAAATTGTCAGTGTGCGTCATATATGTACCTCTAGTCAGCTAGTTGGATGGTTGGACAGACGGATGGTTGATCACTTAGCCTTTTATATATATAGATATTTGCATATCAAAATTGAAATTATAACATTTCATATATACCAGATTAGTTTAAAACATTATTAAAATTAATCTCACCTGTTTTACATTTCTTAATGTGGCTACTAGAAAACGTAAGAGTACACAGGTGGTTCATATTTGTGGCTCTCTCATTATACTTCTATTAAACAATACTGGTATCTGAAATGATTGTAATAGGATTAAATTCCTTTAAATTCCCTCTAGCTCTAAAGTTCTAACATGAAGAAACTACACATTTAAGCTTATACAGTTTAAACACAAAGTTATTTTAGAGAAACATAGGTTAGTCACTATTTCATTATTTTTTCACCCATACCCCCCAGTGCTTTCTCATGCTGTTTTTATGGATTCCTAATAGCCAAGAAAAATGAATCTGTCTATTTATTTATAAAATACAAGTATGCAGTTCGTGGCCATTGTCAATTGCTATTTGGTCCTATTCCTTTCTGCTTCACAACATGCTCATGCATTTTTAATGCTCTGTATGAATAATGAACTCTGTGTGTGGGCTTTTCCACTTTAATATTCATCAAGCAGGAGGTTTGGAATTAGCGATTATTAGAGATCTTGTATTTCAGTGGTCCCTATACATGCTGGCACCTCTGAATCACCTGGAGAGCATATAGAAAATATTCAATTCTAGGTTTCATGTCTGGAGACGCTGACTCAGCAGGCCTGGGATGACATAGGATCCTATGCGTCTGAAGAACCTGCCCACGTCCCTCAGAAGCTCAGTGAGGCTGGGAACCAGTGGTCTATCCTAACTTCCTTCATCTGTAAGGAGGGTAGAGTGAATTGTCCCCGGAGCCTCAGACCTGGAACCATGATGCGAGGCTCCTCACTACAGCTCTGTGCCATTCTGAGAGACCTTCCGTCAAACACACGTTACTCACTCCTCAAGAGCTTCGGCCATCAGTATATCTTCCTTGTCAGTTTTAACATCCAACTCTGGTTCTCCACTGAGCAGAAGCTTCAAGTTATAAATAACCAGCAAAGTACCTAGTGCAAAACAGATGTTTAACTTGTTAATATTTTAACTACACTAAATATGAGCCATGGCGATATTATCATATCTATTGATTTAAGCCTGCCCTCAGCCAAAATTCCCTTTGTACTTCAGTAAATATGCTTGGATAAGTTCCAAGATGTATGTCTTATAGAAAATTCCACTCTGCCAAAGAGTGTTCAGTTTCCACACTAACAGTGCTTCTTATTACTACTCAATTTATTATGTCTTTCAATGTGGATTCTTAAACTTGGGCACTTTTCATAATTTGCATTATAAAAATTATTAGGAGCCTTTGCCAAATTTGTACTGCAGGTAAAGCTCTCATTGGTGGAACTACAATCAATGTGCATAAGAACAAATACCAGTTTAAAAAATTTGTACAAATATGAAGTATTGCTTTTAGACCCTACAACAGGTGTTGGCAAATTTTTTTGGTAAAGGGCCAGGTAATAAATATTCCAGGCTTTGCGGCTATATGGTCTCTGTCAAAACTACCCACAATTCAACTCTACCACTGTAGCATGAAAGCTGCCACTGAGAATACATAAATGTGTGAGTGTGGCCATCCTATATAATAAAGAGGTGATATTCAAATTAACCCTCACACCCTCAAAAGATTGCTGCCTACGACCAGGTCAGCAGGGGGGTTAATGAGGGACGACCAAACAACTGAACAAGCAGGCTGTGTAGGGCAACCAGGCCAGCAGAGGGGGCAGTTGGGGACAACCAAGCCGGCAGGGGGAGCAGTTAGGGATGACCAGGTTGGCAGAGGGGGACAGTTGGGGGGTGACCAGGCCAGCAGGGGGGGGCAGTAAGAGGCGACCAGGCCGGTGGGGGGCAGTTAGGGGCAACCAGGCCAGTGGGGTGGAGGGTGCAGTTGGGGGCGACCAGCCAGCAGGAGTGGGGCAGTTGGGGGCAACCAGGCAGGCAGTGGGGGCAGTAAAGGGTGACCAGGCCAGAGGGGGGGCAGTTAGGAGTAACCAGGCCATTGGGGGGGGCAGTTAGGGGCAATCAGGCCAAAATGAAGAGGCAGTGAGGGGTGATCAGGCCGGCATGGGGGGGGGGGGGGAGTGGGCAGGGCAGGGTAGGCAGTTAGGGGCAACCGGGCAGGCAGGCAGGTGAGCGATTAGGAGCCAGCAGTCCAGGATTGTGAGTGGGATGTCCGACAGCCGGTTTAGGCCTGGGCAGTCAGACATCTTCCAAGGGGTCCCGGATTGGAGAGTGTGCAGGCTGGGCTGAGGGGACCCCCACCCCATGCACAAATTTTGTGCACCAGGCCTCTAGTATTCCAATAAAACTTTATTTACAAGAACAGGGGTGAAGCCAGATTTGACCTGTGGGGGCCATAGTTTGCTGACCCTGCTCTAAAGCATAGTTAACAAAAAACAAATGCTTTATAAAGTTGTTTATAATATGAAGACAAACAGAATTGTTAGATAAATTAAAAGAACCAATTTCACTTTTTTGGTAGAACTTCAGTATAAGGGAGAACAGCACAGTGGCTAAGAATTGGACTTGGGAGCAAAATGCCTGGGTCTAAATCCTGGATCAACCATGTATTGGTGCAATGACCTCAGATAAGATTCCTAGCATTGCTGAACCTCATTTTTCTCATCTATTCAGTGGCACTTATAAAGTTCCTAAAACACATACTCGTTTAAGGGGTTAAATGAATTAATTTTTATAAACCATTTAGAAAAGTATTCAGGAAACAGTACACTCTTCATTACTATTTGTAAGAGTACTTCACAATTAGAAGTCAACTAAGAGATGACATCAACTATCCTCAAAGTGTATCATGTATATGTTAATAAAATGAATACTATAATTGCCCATACTTTTCTCTCTGAGAAAAAGAAAAGGATGAAAAAAACACACCACTATTACACAACATGCCACAGGTTAAAGAAGAAATTTCAAAAGTAACATAGGCTAACTCAGAAATAAATTTCTTGGAATTTTTCTATAAACATTACATAAATCAAGGAGTTGGAAAAAGCAAAGTGCACATAGCTTTCTCTAAAATAGGATTCTTTTTTCTTCTTGATATAAAGATCTTGGCCTGGAGGTCAAACCCTTCCTGGTATTAGCTACAACAATCAAGGCTTAACTACAAGACTGCGCACAAAGACCACTAGGGGGTGCACCAAGAAAGCATAACAAAATGAGGAGACAAAGAAACAGGACAAAATTGTCAATGGAAGATATAGAGTTCAGAACCACACTTTTAAGGTCTCTCAAGAACTGTTTAGAAGCCGCCGATAAATTTAATGAGATCTACAAGAAAACTAATGAGACCCTCGTTGTTATGATGGGGAACCAACTAGAAATTAAGCATACACGGACTGAAATAACGAATATTATACAGACTCCCGACAGCAGACCAGAGGAGCGCAAGAATCAAGTCAATGATTTGAAATGCGAGGAAGCAAAAAACACCCAACCAGAAAAGCAAAATGAAAAAAGAATCCAAAAATACGAAGATAGTGTAAGGAGCCTCTGGGACAGCTTCAAGCGTACCAACATCAGAATTATAGGGGTGCCAGAAGAAGAGAGAGAGCAAGATATTGGAAACCTATTTGAAGAAATAATGACAGAAAACTTCCCCCACCTGGTGAAAGAAATGGACTTACAGGTCCAAGAAGCGCGGAGAACCCCAAACAAAAGGAATCCAAAGAGGACCACACCAAGACACATCATAATTAAAATGCCAAGAGCAAAAGACAAAGAGAGAATCTTAAAAGCAGCAAGAGAAAGAAACTCAGTTACCTACAAGGGAATACCCATACGACTGTCAGCTGATTTCTCAACAGAAACTTTGCAGGCCAGAAGGGAGTGGCAAGAAATATTCAAAGTGATGAATACCAAGAACCTACAACCAAGATTACTTTATCCAGCAAAGCTATCATTCAGAATTGAAGGTCAGATAAAGAGCTTCACAGATAAGGAAAAGCTAAAGGAGTTCATCACCACCAAACCAGGATTATATGAAATGCTGAAAGGTATCCTTTAAGAAGAGGAAGAGGAAGAAAAAGGTAAAGATACAAATTATGAACAACAAATATGCATCTATCAACAAGTGAATCTAAGAATCAAGTGAATAAATAATCTGATGAACAGAATGAACTGTTGATTATAATAGAATCAGGGACATAGAAAGGGAATGGACTGACTATTCCTGGGGGGGAAAGGGGTGTGGGAGATGCGGGAAGAGACTGGACAAAAATCGTGCACCTATGGATGAGGACAGTGGGTGGGGAGTGAGGGTGGAGGATGGGGCGGGAACTGGGAGGAGGGGAGTTATGGGGGGAAAAAAGAGGAACAAATGTAATAATCTGAACAATAAAGATTTAATTATAAAAAAAATAAAATAAAATAAAGAGTGGTGGAAGCCTAGAGAAAGATTGGCACTTAAAATATTACTAGACATGGTACATTCTTCATATTCATCAGAAAGTTGGTGGAGGTTAAAAGAATACAAAAGAGATCCATTAATTTGGAAAAAAGTATCTACAAAGTTATTGCTAATTGCTGCAGAAACTTGGATTCATTACTTTATAAGTTACTAACTCATAAACCTGGGATCATCTCATCTTAAACGCTACAATAAGCATCTCCTAACTGTATCTGGTACAGGGACTGTGGAGCCCTGCGGTCATAGCTTGTATCATCCTCTTCTCACTGATATTCACCAAGTTCATGCAAGTATACACCTTTCTCCCATTGTCAGGGACCTGAAGTTATATATGTTTGGATTCTCTTAATACAAAAGTTATATGGCTAAAACAAATGACTGCCCCCATGCAAGATGCCACGTGATATTATAAAGAGAAAAAATATGAACACATACATATAATGCCTTTCATAAGACAATGAAAACAAGTACTTCCATCTAAATTTCAACGTTTTTATGATCTTACCACATTTCCCATAGATTATATCAAATTGCCGCATTAATTCAGCTTCAGTTTTATATGGAGAGTACTTATAAATTATAGACAATTCCGTTGAGAATTTCTGAGGATCATCTGTGACAGGTTCTCTGTTTTTGGTTAACCACGAAGGCATTGGAACTACAACCTATTAAAAAAACACATCAATTTACTATGAAACACACAAATAAAAACCATCACCTTTTTATCTGTTCAGAATTCAGTCTACTCGTCAGCCAAATTACAAAACCAAACATGAAGTTAAAAGTTTACTTCTCTCCTGTATTCTAGCTTTATAAGGAAGAGACGCATTATATATATGGCTTTATTCTAAAATGGTCCATTGTGAAATGTGGGGACAGATAGAATCTACTTCCGCTTTCTTTTAAAATATGGGTATAATGGCAGAAGGAACAATAGTAGCAGCATTTAGAAAGTGGAGAGCAAATGACAGCATATCTAAGAAAAGCAATCCAAAGATCATGCCAGAAAAGAGAAGCAGCCTGATTTATAATTCAGAATCCACTAAAAGACTCCAAAAATGGCCCTAGCCGGTTTGGCTCAGCGGATGGAGCATCGGCCTGCGGACTCAAGGGTCCCAGGTTCGATTCCATTCAAGGGCATGAACCTTGGTTGCGGGCACATCCCCAGTGGGGAGTGTGTAGGAGGCAGCTGATCGATGTTTCTCTCTCATCGATGTTTCTAACTCTCTGTCCCTCTCTCTTCCTCTCTGTAAAAATTCAATAAAATATATTTAAAAAAATAAAAATAAATAAAAGACTCCGAAAATGATGACATGAATCAACTCTAGACCAGGGCAAAGGGGAAAGAGAGCCAGATGTGCATCCAGACACCCATCTGGCAATAAGTCCTTCCCTACCTCCACAAAGACTGGATGCTCACTTTCTGGGAAGACTGGAACAAAGTGTTTCTGAATAACATGGCATGCCAAGTAGAGCTGTCAGGGGACCTTACTGAGATGAGAGGGATTAAGTACAAGTGTACACATTGGGTACTAAGAACCTGAGATCTCTTCTCCCATTTAGCTTCCAGAAAGTTTTCAGGTAGGTCTTCAGGTAGAAGACTGTAGAAGTCTTCCCTGAGAAACCTGACAAACCCAGAAGGAAGGACATAAAGAAAATGATGTTGAGGGTTTCCCAATAAAACAGCCAGCTAGATCTTCCTATCGTGACACTCACAGCTGCCAGGCCCCACCCCCCACACTCTCAGAGTTTTCAACAGGCATTTTTTAGACTAATCTTTAAAGTACAGCAGGCTCTCAAATGCTGTTTTGTTCAACGTTCTTTTATTACAATGTCGAGGAGAAAAAACTCTCAGCAGGGGCCACGGACTGTGTGGAGTGTGTGGGTTCTCCCATGTCCGTGTGGATGTTCTCCAGGCGCTCCAGTTTTCTCCCACATCCCAAAGACATGCACATGAGGTGGATTGGTGTGTCTGAACCGTCCCAGTCGGAGCGAGTATGGGTGTCCGTGAGTGGCCCTGTGATAGAAAGGCATCCCCTCCAGGGTGGGGTTCCATAGCCTGGAGGCCACCCATGATCCTTTATGCAATAGATGGGTTGTCAAAGAATTATATTGTTTTTGTTAATTTTTCTTGAATGCATGTGTAGCTCATATTTATTTCAATGTTTACTATTGGAAGCATTTTGGGTCTTTCTTTATAAGTTTGGTGATGTTTTGTAACCAAAAATACACTGTAAGAACTTAACTCTTGTTTATATCCATTAGCCTATGGTAAAATTGGTTTCACTTAAAGTCACAGTTTCCAAGAACCTATCTGGGAAGTTAAGTGAGGACATACTATATTTAGGATGAATAACTATCTAAGCAAAGCCTCTAATATAATGAATAGAAGCCAAATAAGCATAAACAAAGCAACTCCGTGGAAACAAAAAAATATAGAACATAAAACTTTTGGAGGAAAAATCAATCATTGTTAATATCTTCAGAGCTCTAAGAGGAAGTACTATAGCCTCGAAATAAGAACTAGATATCTTTTTAAAAGGAACATTGAGAGAAAAGAAAAGACTTCTTGGAAATTAAGAATATGATTACAGAAAAAACTTTTATATGAAAAGGTTGGAAGAGAAATGTTATAAAATCTTCCAGGAAAAAAAACCAAAAATATAAAGGACAAAATATAAAAAACAAAAATATAAAGGAGAGGAAAGAAGAAAATTAAAAAACTGGTCTCAGACATCCAAGAGCTAAGAAACAGAAGCTACAAAAATATATGGGTAAGATAATCATCAAATGTTATAGGAAAATGCCCCCAAATTGAAGAACACAAGATTCCAGATTGAAAATGTCCAACAAGAGCCCAGCACAATGGATGCAAACAGAACCACCCAAAGGCAAAACACTGAAATCAGAATACTGGGGTCGAAGAAGATTCTACTGACCTTCATAAAATAAAGGGCAGGGGGAAACAACGGGTCACATACAAGACTCAGGAATTAAAATGGCTTAGACTCCTTAAAAACAACACTAGAAATTAGAAGATAATGGAGCAATGCCTTCAAAATTCTGAAGGAAAATTTATTGCAACCTAGCAATAACACCAAACCAACTATCATTACATTTTCAAGCAAGATAAAAACATTTTCATGAGATCTCAGAAGATTTTACCTTTCATGCACCCTTGCTAAAATGCTACTGGAGAATATGTTACACAAAAAAGACATGAGATTTAGGATCTGAGATTTAACACAGAAGAGAGAGGCAGAGACGCCTGGACAATGACACAGACAGATCCCAGGATGGCAGCTGAGTACCAGCCATGGAAAGCAGAATTGTGAGCTGCAGCACATGAGCTGTGGTAAAGGCACAGAAAACCAAGCAGGTTTTTGGTGGTAGTGATAAGTACATAGAACACTAAGCATACAATTATTGATTCCAGGGAAAATAAAAACTTGTGCAGGAGAGAGAAAAAATAACAGTTTATGATATGGTATGATTATGGATGGTGTTTATATAGCCTCATAATGTAAACACTGAACACTGTCATAGCCATAATTACAAACGAGCTATGGAATTGGAAGGATATGTATGTGATAGGAGTACAGGGGGGGAAAACAGATAAATCCTGTTCTTTTATAGCAGGAGGTTAATAGGTAATGCCTAAATCAAATCAAAAGTAGCAATACAATTGCACAAAGGCATGGTTTTTCTTATGATTTCTTAATAATGCCAAATTACATGCTGGAAACACTCATACTATTTTGCAATTTAGTTAAATATTTGTACAGTTTTATTGCAATGTTGATTTTTGTAAATTTATTGATTAAATATCTCCCCTGCAGGAAAAAAAAAAAAAAAAAAAAAAAGCAATACAAGCCTGTTACACACAGATATCCAGAATACAAAATCAAAAGAATCAGCTAATATTGTTGAAAGAGACTGCCTCTATGGAAATGGAAAGAGGATGTTGGTTTTATTTTTATTTTTTAAATTAGGGTAAGGTGAATGGTCCATTTCAGAAAGCAATAACCGCAGAGCGTAGGCCCCATTTTGCATGCCTTTTACATACATAAAGTACAACATAAATGCTTAAAGCATTGGTTTTCCTCATGGCAACATCCCATCGGCTATTCCCTAGTGCCTGCAGACTGTTCCTATACCCAGCCCCACTCTACTGCAGCCAGTGAGCACGCTCTGCTTTTGCTGGGCAATCTCACATTTCCATACTGTCCCTTCAAACCCCATTCTTATCTCCAGGCATGAGACTTTCTGTATCCCAACTTGGTTTTATTTTTATTTTTTAAATTAGGGTAAGGTACACCATTTCTCTCCACAAACCAGCCTTTCTAGTAATAAGGTGTACTCACTCCATAAAACCTCCATATCACTGCTTTTGACAATTTGTAGCAGCAGGAACACATACTTGTTGAACAGCATTCCTTTTAAACAATTCCATTTTATTATTTAGATAATTCATATGTGTCTGCCTTATTTTGTGGCAGCGCTAAAATAAAGTCTGATGGTCAGGTGGTCTACTTCTTGTTTCCTACCTTCTACAGGGCCTACCCAGTGCTGGACAGACAGCAGTTCCTCAACATATACTTGTACTGAATTATAACTGATGTTTCTAAAAGTAAAACTCAGACACTTCAAATTAATAAAATTTCTCTGGGTCATCAAATGGAGTTGAAATTATTATGTTCACTGGAGTTACAAGTTTAAGTATATTTCACATTTTGTTTCTTTAGATTTTCTATTTCAAGACTTTGAATCCAATATTCTATTTCTTTTAAGAATGATAATCCATTTATGGCACAAGTGGTACAATTGATTTGCAAGCTTCTTCCAAAAAAAGCTCATTGTGCCAAAAGGAGCCTCTTATTTTGGGAGATTCGGGTACATAGATAATGTAAATAAAGTTCTGAAAACTTCCTAGAAGTTGAAAACCCAAGAGAGAATAAGATAGGCCTCCAATGATCCAGCCACTCTTTCTTCATCTCCCAAACATATTCCTAAATTTCTAAAACTTAACTGCCGGAAGCTGGTCCATCCTTGCTGCTTGACACAGTCGCTGCAGGAAAGAAACATCTGCACAGCATATGTTTCAAGGGACCTGGTGTATATAGCATACTGTTCTTAATATGTTTGCTCCCCTTAGCGCTATGTGTTTTAACCAAGGTCACCTCTCTGAGAAAGGTTGTTTCCCCAGGTAGGGATTTTTCCCTGAAGTTAGGGAGGGAATAAAATCCCTTAACTAAGTGCCAGGTGGGTAGTTAATCACTTTAACTACGAACAATCACGATTAAGCTACATAATCTTTACTCCCTGGAATGGAGATAAGAAACGCCCTAACCTTTGGAATAGAGATTGATAGGATTGGAATCAACTGGTATAAATACAGATGTAACAAGACAACAGGACACAGAACCTAGAGACAGAACCTAGCCAGAGAACATGGCAAAAGATCCTGGACAGAACCTGGCTACAGAACTTGGCTGGAGAACCTAGACAGAACCTGGCAACAGAACCTGGCTGAAGAACCTGGCTACAGAATCTGGCGACCGAACCTGGCTGGAGAACCTGGAGAACCTAGTGAGAGAACCGAACCAGAACTTGGCTAGAGATCCTGACTAGGCTGCTGATCAACTGAATGCTGTCTCCGTGTCATTCCTTCTTCGCCGACTCCGTCCACACCTTTGAGGACCCCTGGACCTGCTGGGGTTGGACCCCAGCACATAACCAGAAAGAACTCATTATAGGTTTTACCTCCTGAGATAGGAAATGAAAACAACACTGATACCATTGGAACCAAAGAAAAATCTCAACTCTTACCTCACTCAGACCTTCTCCTTCACAGAATGTCTGAGAAAAAAAAACACAGGTCATCGTTTCTTCCTTCTTTGTGAAAAGAATAAAGTCTTTTCCAATCCTCATGGACCCACTATATTAAAAATCAAGAAGATAACAGTTTACATGTCAAACACTAAAAAGGAGCAACAGGCAGGCATGATACTGTGTTCTCTAATGGGTTTTCTCTTCACAGAAATAGCTCCACTGTTTTGCTGACTCATCACCAAGAGAGTTCAATATGATCTTCTTTCTCAAAGCAGAACAGATGGATTTGAACTAGTCCAGCCCCACACTCTTGCTTGAGACATAATTCCAGAAATAAAGATGGCCTGGGGTTGAAGAAGAGCACAACCATCTGCCCCTAGCAGTTGCCACACTGGTGATTGTGCTTGCCTTTCATTGAGATATTCTACTAAAATAAACCATGGACACAAGTAACACTCATACTAAACTATGCTTTGAGAAGTAAGAAATCACAGAGATGCAATTAAGCTCAGAAGTACAGCAGTTCCTGGGAGAAGACTCATCACTTATTTGAAAATTAAATTTTAAAATGTTGTAAAGATCAAGTCAGTAATGGGTATGGAGAATCAAAACTAAGGTAGGACTCCCAAGTTTATATTCTTTTTAAAGTTCTATAAATTTGGACCATTCTACATAAGATTGCCTTTAACTAAATATTGTTCCATTATCAATAATATATGCCTTAAAGAAAAAAAAATCTCACCTTTTAAGACCATTGCCATATTGCCCAATAAACTTCAAGGTTGATAACCGTTTCTTGGATGTTCCAAAGTAAATAATATCTGAGGCTTCCTCTGTAATCCACAAAAGTGTTTTAGGTGGTTAGGAATTATGTGTAGGTCACAGGGGCCAGACATCCAGTCGTTAGCACATCACACATATCACAGAGCACACATATCTCTTGGGTCAGCCCAGAAGCAAGGCTCCTTATCAGGCTCCATAATCTCTGACCAGGATCTTAATAGTATTATACTGAAGGAGGTCAGACAGACCTAGCCATGTGATTTTAGGGTAAATAAGAGTTTAAAACACTGAAGCTTAATTTCCAAACCTCTAAAAAGGGAACTACTTACATTAAAAAGATCATACACCATGACCAAGTGGGATTTATTCCAGGGGTGCGAGGCTGGTACAATATATGCAAATCAATAAATGTGATACACCACATAAACAGGTTGCAAGACAAAAATCACATGATCATATCAATTGATACCAAAAAAGCATTCGAAAAAATCCAACACCCTTTTTTCATAACAATTATCAGTAAAGTGGGATAGAGGGATCATACCTCAACATAATAAAGGCCATACATGACAAACCTACATCACACTCAATGGGCAAAAATATAAAATCATTTCCCCAAGGACAGAAACAAGACAGGATGTCCACTTTCACCACTCTTATTCAACATAATACTAGAAGTACTAGCCACAGTGATCAGACAAGAAGAAAAAATAAAAATCATCCAAATTGGAAAGGAGGAAGTAAAATCGTCAATATTTACAGATGACGTAATATTGTACATAGAAAAACCCTAAAGACTCCATCAAAAAACTACCAATTTAATAAATGAATTTGGCAATGTAGCAGGATACAAAATTAACATCTAGAAATGCATGGCATTTTTATATACCAATAATGAACTCTCAGGAAGAGAAATTAAACAATCCTATTACCATTGCAACAACAAAAAATTAAGATATTTAGGAAAAAACTTAACCAAGGAGGTACAATACTTGTACTTGGAAAACTACAGGACACTGAAAAAAAAAAAAAAAGGGGGATAGAGGAAAATATAAACAAATGGAAGAATATACCATGTTAATGGATTGGTAGAATCATATCATGAAAATGTCCATACTATCCAAAGCAATCAATAGATTCCGCAATCCCTATTAAAATACCAAAGGCATAACTGAGGGATTTGTATGGGGTAGAATAAACCTCTTTACAAGAAAGTATGAAGAAAGGTATAGTTTAAACGTTTTATTTTGGTAACTCTTATGGACCTCATAGCATCCTCCCCTGCACAGAGGTTTCCAAGTTGACTCCCCACCGCCTTATGTCCCCCGGTTTTAAGCTCCATCTCCATCCCCAATAGGGCTCGCACTGGCAAAGTAATTGATGGGTGTTCCTCCCTTTACCTCCCCCTGGCTTGAAAAGAACATAAACGTATTTATAAGAAAAAGCAGGCACAGATATTAGGACTTCTGAGATATCCACAGCAGTTTACAACTATTACGAAAACAAACTAGAGAGGCGTTCCCGAACTTAGCCTTTCTTTCCAACCAAATAAAAACCGAAAGCCACTCAGAATGCATCCTCTCCCTCTTCTCCCCGTAAAGAGAGAAGAACGATCATCAATGGCTGGCGGCAGCTGCCGAAGCAACACCGAGAGCCGGCTTCACGCTCAGGAGAGGACGCTGCGCCTCCTCCTCGTGGTTTCGGGTGCTCTACACGTTCAGAGAAACTTCTCTAGTAACGGACTATAGAAATGATCCCTGAAAGTATAGTCTTAACGTGGACGCCGCCGCCTCCGCCAGGTCTACCGCCGCCGCACACTTTGCAGTCATGGTGAGATAGTTTTCCAAGTTCTGATGCCACTGGCAAAGAGAAAAGCTTTCCGGTCTGTATCATCCTTCAGATACGATCACTCAACAGTGATTTTTAACACTTAGGTGGAAATTAAATGTCCAAAGTTTTTTTTAAAAAACGGCCACCTCATTAACATAATACTGAACGACAGCCAATCACAATCTGGGCGGTGTCAGCCCAGGAGGCATCACTCAGTTCCGGTGAGGCGGCCCCGCCCCTGGGAGCTACCGGAGAGGGCGGGCTTTTTCGTTCTTAGAATCGAGCTGCTTCCTGTGATTGGTGAAACGTGCCGCGACGGCCGTCCTGAGTTTGACTTTCAATCGCGGGTGGATTTGAGACCGGTCGCCCGGTCGCCGGGGCTGGGGCTGGGGCGGGGAGGGGAACTGCAGCTGGGACGCATCGCTGGGAGACACAATCTTTTGGTTTGTGTGTCACGTTTGCACTATCTGTTCACACTTTCTGAGTTCTTAAAGGTCGTTGGTGCTTTAGCATGAAAAGAAGAAAAAGTAAACATTCATTGGAGATGCATCTCCTAATGAGATGAATAAACTATGTTTCAGTTGGTTCAAAAAAATAATCATAAAATAAAATACCAACGGCATATTTCACAGATCTAAAGCAAATACTCCAAAAATGTATATAGGACCAAAAAGGATCCCAAATAGTCACAGCAATCTTGAGAAAGAAGAACAAAGTAAGAAGAAACACAATATCAGATATTAAGTTATACCACAAAGCCACCGTAATCAAAACAGCCTGGTACTGGCATAGGAACAGGCGTGTAGATCAATGAAACAGAGCAGACAACCCATAAACTGATCCAAGCCATTATGCTCAATTAATATTTGACAAAGGAGGCAAGAACATACAATGGAATAAAGATAGTCTCTTCAATAAATGGTGTTGGAAAAATTGGAAATAAAAAAAAAAACTAGACCAGCAACTTACACCATACACAAAAATAAACTCAAAATGGATGAAAGACTTAAATGTAAGTCCTGAAACCACAAACATTTTAGAAGAAACCATAGGCAGCAAAATCTCAGACATCTCTCGAAGCAATATGTTTGTGGATACCTACTTCTCCTAGGGCAAAGGAAACTACGGAGAAAATAAACCAATGGAACTACATCAAAATAAAAAGCTTCTGCACTGCAAAAGAAACCATCATCAAAATAACAAGAGAGCCCACTGCATGGGAGAACATATTTTCCAAAGATGCATCTGATAAGGGGTTAATCGCCAAAATATATAGGGAACTCATGCAACTTTAACAAAAGGAAGACAAACAACCCAATTATAAAATGGGCAAGGGACCTAAATTAAAAAAAAAAAAAAGTGCACCTCTATGTCCACTTTTTTCTCCAAAGTGGACATAGAGAAAGCTAAGAGACATATAAAAAAAATGCTCAAAGTCACTAATCATCAGAGAGATAGATGCAAATTAAAACAACAATGAGATACCACCTCACACCTGTCAGAATGGCTAACATCAACAAATCAACAAACAAGTGCTGGCGAGGATGTGGAGAAAAGGGGACCCTAGTACACAGCAGGTGAGAATACAGAGTGATGCAGCCACTGTTGAAAACAGTATGAAGGTTCCTAAAAAAATTAAAAATGGAACTCCCCTTCGACCTAGTAATCCCACTTCTAGGAATATATCCTAAGAAACCTGAAACACCAATCAGAAAGAATATATATATCCCTATGTTCATAGCAGCACAATTTACAGTAGCTAAGATTTGGAAACAGCCCAAGTTTCCATCAGAAGAGGAGTGGATAAAAAAGCTGTGGTGCATTTACACAATGGATTACTACTTGGCTGTAAAAAAGAAGTAACTCTTACCATTTGCAACAGCATGGATGGACCTATAGAGTATTATGCTAAGTGGCATAAGCCAGTCAGAGAAAGATAAGCATCACATGATCTCACTCATATGTGAAATATAATGAACAAAATAAACTGATGAACAAAAATAGATCCAGAGACATAGAAATATGGAACCGACTGACAAATTTCAGAAGAAAGGTGGGGTAGGACTTGAGGAGGGAGAGATGTATGCGTAGCCCATGGACACAGATAATACTGTGGTGAAGGCCTGGCAGGGGCAGCTGTGGGGTGGAAGGGTCAATGGAAAGAAAGGAACAAAGGGGACACCTGTAACACTTTCAACAATAAAGATACATTTAAAAATAAAATAAAAGGGAACTATTAATACTTGGAACATAGTTGTTGAAAAATATAAATAAAACAAATTCAATAAGATGATGTATTTTTCAAACCCTGAACACAACACATGGGACTTGATAAATGCTAATAAATTTTAAATATTATGATTACTTTACCACTAGTAATTTTCTACAAAGTTGGCCTTTATCAAGCCCCATGTGAATCTAAGAAGAAGGGAATAGCTTCTGGTCTGATACAACCTGGGGAGGAAGGGCTATTTGTTTCAGACTTTTATTTAGAGTTTGTCTCCTGTTCTCTTAAAGGCATTCTAGAATTCTAGAGAAAAATCTTCTGGATTTCAGAAAATACATACCTCCAGAAATAAAAAGCTCCAAGGGAAACAAGAAAAGATAGAAATGGGTCTCCTAACTGGCCTACTTGAATACATGCTTTAGAATTGTTCTTGAGGACCCTGTGTCCGTCTGGGGGCACCTGGTTTGGGGTGTGTAAAAGCTACCAGACACTCTGCTTGTCAGAACCTAATCTGACATTCAATCTCATGTTCTTATACAGGGTTGGATATTAGGTGAGGGTATCCATAATGATAATGTTAGCTACAATTTATTGATTGTTAAGTGCATTCTAGGTGCTATCAATATACTTTCCATGAACCACTTAATATTGATAAGCTTCCCAAGGTCACACCGCTCATAAATGCTACCACCAGGATTACAACCCAGACCAGATTTGTCAAAGACCAGATCCCAGGGTTTTCATTACACACCACATAGACTCCCATGTATGGGGCCAGGGATCAGGGCAGAGAGTCAGAACACTGAATACAACAGACATGACCCTTACCCTCAACAACTTTATGTCATGGTAGGAGAAACAGACTGAAAGAAGTAGCCAAATAAGCAAGACCATTTCTAAGAGTGAGGGGGCAAATGACGCAAGAAATTGAAAGCTCCTGCTGTCACTTGCACCTGCTGACGGTGGTGAACAATTGGGCTAGCGCTGGGTGCCGGCAGTGGGTGCGAGCGGCAGCTCCG